TTCACTGCTCTAATTTATTTACGTGAGAATAACCTTAGTTCCCAAGACCCATTGTCACTATTTTAAAGTATCTAGTGTGTGCTTAAACATGTGCTTACAGCTTTGCTGTCTTAGACAGGGTCCTCTGAGGAACTCTAGAATTTATGGCCATTTGACCCAGACATGGATAATGAAGGCACATAGTATTCCTATCCTATTTCTGATTGATGGGACACTGCCTTGCATAGAAGACACGTGCTTAGTATTTTTTTAGCTGGATCTGGGAAGGAGAAAAATATATGGTTTTAGAAGAGGTGGGTGACATTACACAAAAGAGAAACAGCAGGAGCCTAGGGCAGTGGTGGCAGCGAGTTATGTTTTAGAGATTGTACCTTTGAGGCAAACAGGCGTACGAGGTGCATGCCAAGGCACAATAGAAAATAAACCCAAAAAAGGATATCTCTCTGTATACTTTCCAAGCCACCGGGTACTGAAGTACTTTCATCTTAGAAGATGTAATATATGATGAAGTAGATAGTAGTTTTAGAATAGGGAATAATACACATATATTCATCTATCCAGGCATGAGCATTTATTTATTTGCTTATGTGTTTATATATTTACTAGAGGACCGGTGCACAAAAATTTGTGCACTTGGGAGGGTCCCTCAGCCCAGCCTGTGCCCTCTCGCAGTCTGGGACCCCTCTGGGGATGACCACTTGCTGGCTTAGGCCCAATGACCAGTCTTTCTGCTGTTAGGATCAATTTGCATATTACCCTTTTATTATATAGTATAGAGGCCTGATGCATGAGTGGGGGCCAGCTGGTTTGCCCTGAAGAGTGTCCCAGATCAGGGTGGTGGTCCCGCTTGGGTGCCTGGCCAGCTTGGGTGAAGGGCTGCTGGCTGTTTGAAGGCTGGTCACAGCCCCCAGCCACCCAAGCTCCCAGTGGAGGCTGGCTGGAAGTAGGTATCTGGGATTTATTTAGCTTCTATAATTGAAACTTTGTTGCCTTGAGTGGAGGCCATAGCCGGCCAGGGCAGGCGGGAAGCTTGGCTTCCTCCATCGCCGGGGCAACCAAGCCTCCTGCTTGCTCCAGCTCCATGGCTGCCAGCTGCCATCTTGGTTGGGTTAATTTGCATATAGTTGCTCTGATTGGCTGGTGGCATGGCTTGGGACATAGCCGAGGTGCGGTCAATTTGCATATTTCTCTTTTATTAGATTAGATTTGATTTCAGAGAGGAGGAGAGGGAGAGAGAGATAGAAACATCAATGATGAGAGAGAATCATTCATCAGCTGTCTCCTGCACTCCTCCTACTGGGGCTGGAGCCAGAAACCTGAGCATGTGCTCTGAATGGGAATTGAACCATGACATCCTGTTCATAGGTCGATGCTCAACCAGAGGCATTGCCAGTCCAGGCCTGAGCATTATTAAATAAACACTATATAAAGGCAGCATGAATTATCCAGAGGCTTCTCCAGAAGTGACCAACACATTTGACATCCAAAATAAAAGCTATGAAATGAGGTACAAAATAGTAACTCTGAGAAAGGAATAAATTAAGTCAAAGGTATTTATTGCAGAGCAGGTAAATTGGGGGTTACAGTGTGAACCAGAGTTAGAAAGTTTTAGTTAGGACCATGGGTCTGTCTACCCACTGTTCACTATCTGTGAGACTGTGGGCAATTACTTCTCATCCACGAGACTGTCTCCACATCTGAAGCTAAGGGTTATTGTGAGTTTGAGATGGAGTAATTAATACATGTAGAGCTTTATGTGTTTAGTGTATAGCAGCGGTTCTCAACCTGTGGGTCGCGACCCCTTTGGGGGTCAAATGACCCTTTCACAGGGGTTGCCTAAGACCATTGGAAAACACATATATAATTACATATTGTTTTTGTGATTAATTACTATGCTTTAATTATGTTCAATTTGTACCAATGAAATTGAGGGTCACCACAACATGAGGAACTATATTAAAGGATCACGGCATTAGGAAGGTTGAGAACCACTGGTATATTAATCATTCAGTAAATGATGCCTTGATTATTGAAGCCTTTATATAGGAGGTAGCCTGTGAGGTAGGCCTTGAAGAATAGGTAGTGAATAGAAATGCAGAGACGAGAAAGACTTTCTATCTTAATTGAAAATCGTAAGTAAAGGCAATAAGAACAGTAATACATGACACTACAAAGCTCACTTTGGTATGTGAAACTTGAGAGAGCAGGAAAATAAAGTGAGAAAGCTTGGTTGGAGCCAATTCATAGAGGGCCTTGGATAGTATAAAGATCTTTGTCTTTATTTGGAATGCATCTGGATACAGGAGTTTTCATCTGAATCTTCAATATTAATCGATCGGACAGCTTATGCAGTGGTTGGCAAAAGGAGAGAATACCAGGCCTGAGGCCTCTAGGAGGCTATGATGTTGATCGAGGGGCGATGTCATGAGAGCGGGAGCTAATAAGTAGCTGTCGGAATGATGATGTGGAAGCAGATATGATAGCTAATAGAGAAGTAGACTTAAGGGATTTTGAAATTGGATGAGATGAGAGAATAATGGAGAAAAATGAACCAAAGATGATGCCAGAGTGTCAAGTATGAGGACTGGGAGATTGTGGTCATATTGTGTGTAAGAAGCTGAGGAACCCAACCAAGACTGGCAAGGAAGAGGGTCATGAGCAAAATGTGTGAAATGCCTAAGTGCCAGCGAGAGATTTGGAGGCACTAAAGTCAAACAGGCTGTAAGTAAGGAAAGACTGAAAGCAACACGAGACATTTAAAATGGTTTATCTCATGTAGTCTACTTTTTTCTATTCTGCATGCTCTATAGATTTTGTATAATGGTGGGATTTAGTAACATAAAAGTTATACAAAATAATATGTCCCATTGGTTTTGCCCATATTGGGGAGGCGGTGTATTCGGTAAAGCTAGAATAAATTAAATTTATAAGTTGAGATGACAATATATGTGAAGCTTTAGGTGAATTTTACTTCTCTGGTTATTACATTATCAGCTTTATCAGTAGAGCAGCTGATAATAAATCATCTTGATCTTCAACTCCAACAAAGTACCGCCATTACCATCAGTTATATTGGCATAACTTACCAGCTTAGTAACTTACTTCTTTTATTACATTTATTTTTTATTAGAATAAAAGACATCAGTAAGATTCAGAAAATGTGAAAATAAAGATATACACCTTTAAAATTTTTTTTATAGATTTCAGGTTTTTAATATATAAGGAACTGAACATTATAAACACCTATATTTTTCAAGTACCTTTTGAATCTGGATTTTACCATGAAGTGTTAGTAGAATTTCTTTATTGGAGGTTATTATATATTTCACTTGATAATGTTGAGTTGATTTCCTATGTGGTATGCCCTGATTCCTGCAACTATCTCATAATATAATTCTGACCAAAAGAAAGTATGTATGTGCTCTGTGTTGGAGTAATCAAGTGCCAAAAATACCTTGATCATCTTTTTTTGTTTACTTTCTATTTTGTGCTTGCACCTATAATTAAAGTCAGAATTGAAATAACTTGGAGAAGGAAGGATAGAAAGAGACTAACATTTGTCCAATACCTGCAATGTTGGGTATTATTCCCACATTATATTATTTGATCTTCTCATTGACCCTTGTGGGGTGTATTTGGAAAAACTAGTGCAGAGGCAAATGATAGGTAAAGATTGGTGGTTTCCTCCCAGAGGCCTCATTATCCTGATGATTTTACCGTGACCCAGGTTCTGCCCTCCCCTTTGCAGGTTAGAAATCAGATTTGACTGCACCTACTCATTGCATGTTGTAATTATATGTATATTTGTGCATTTGTTCCTTTCCCCTGCTAAAGTCGAGGTTCTAATGAAGACAGGAACTGATTCTGGTCTAATCACCATTGAATG